CTTCTGACCTAAAAGACCACTCGCCATACAAACTAATCGGCTTCGTTAAGAAGCTGCGTTTATTCGATTGAGTGTGAATAGGTGTGAGCCACAATAAACTCTTGCGGATTGCGATGGAAGGTCGAATAGAGCCACTCACTTTGGACCTAACCTAACTGTACATGATGAAATGTCATATACCGTTTTCCATATTTAGATTTCATATGGAAAGTTCTTTCAAAAGTTAATATATGAATGGGTATATACCGAGTTCAAATGAAAACTGAGTTGAAAAGTGCTTGTTTTTATACGAAACCAACAAGTTATTTGAGCCTAAAATATTTTGGTGAGTTCGATGTCACAAAAAGTTGACGATGTAGCTCTCAAATAGATCATTTTCCTATGAGGAAGAGTATTTTCGTCGATAAGTATCATCGATAAGATATGAATCTAATGAAACACTCATTCCACATACTAGAAGTAGAACAATGCTTCTTGACGCGGGTTTCGCTAACAAAGTTAGCATCATCAGAAGATGAGTAATTAAGTGAAGTTTTTTGAATATAACTCTTGGAATACTTTGAACAAACGGCTATTAGATGATCTCTTTCATTCATAATTTCAATGAGGTTGAGACATTGGATTTTCTCGAATTTAAATTATTTTGAAATTTTGAATCATTTTAACATTATTTTTGTTGTAATTGAAAAAGTTCTTGGTTTATACCATTCAATGTCCTATATTCACAGCAGAAAGAACAATCGGTTATGTCCAAGTAATTGACTAAAAATTGAAAAACTCTATGCAATAATAAAAAAATACATTTCAACAATATCCTCATAACAGAAGGGACTCTTCAACTTATTTTCAAATGAAAATTGGGAAGGTTGAATAAATACGGTTTTTTAAATTGTTCCTAGATATATTCTGAACTGCCTGACTTGTATCCATGCCAAACGATAGTTTTTGAAAGTTTTTTCCAGCTGGATTCCGAATATAAAAAGCAATATATCGATGTCTAGATTTTTTATACTTTCATTTCTTTATCTGAAACTTCTAAAAGAAGTTTGACGTTACCCACTCTGTATAGTATGCGAGGCCAGTTTCTTTTGAAATAAGATGAAATTGACCTTTTTTAGCGACCATCACCATTTTGTACTGATTTGTAACGGAACATTTGCAAGGTTATGAAAATTTGTCTCATTAAAAGCATACAACATATTTATATTCTTCAACCCTGAATAATAATACACTTATTATTAGCAAGGATTTTCCAGCCACCTCAAAATATTTGAAGTAACAAAATATAAACAAAATTTTTGGCTTTCTACTACTCCATCTTGATACAAAAAAAGGATGAGGCTATCTTCCAAAAAAAGGAAAGAATTAATCAATTTGAAAATAAGTAACTCTATACATGGATGTGTAGATCATGCAAAGAATTAACTTTCAGACACAAACTGAAAGAAAGTCCTCCTGAAACAGCTACTTCCATATAAACAATGAATTACACGGAAGAAAAAAACTCTTTCGAAACAAATACTTCTATATGAACACTGAATTATACACAAGATACTTTTCTCTACTCAGTTCGCATTTCAAACATTCGTTGTGGAATAAAAATCAGATATCATTCACATGAGTTCTACTTTAAATGAATGGTAATAAATTGCACTTACATGGAACACTGTCACCCTCACTGGTATACATCGATGTTTCGCCTTAAGACACTTGCCCCAAGGCTCTTAAGTACCAAATTGGATAACATTATAGAAAATACACACAATTCATTCATGAATTACGATTTTTTAATGTCACGGAATAAGCTTGATCTGCTTATGTCATCGATGACATCGTAATGACATTCATTCACTTATTTGATTTAATCCCAGCCAAGAGGAATCGTATTTGAATTGAAGGGGTCATATTTTTATAAAAATGATTATATAAACAAAATACTTTGGAAATTCCGCAAAGGGTTTTTGAACCAATAATCTAGGTATTATTTTGATTAATTTCCTATGAACAATATGCATTTGTTCTTTGAGGACTGAATTTTCCTAAAAATTGTCTATTCTGAATAAGATATCAAAATTGCCACTTCTTATGTTCGCTGATGATCTGAAGATGTGCAAAGTTAGTCATGACTCATCTGTTACTGAATTATTACAGTACGATTTATCTAACTCTGTACACTGGTGCGATATAAACATATTGCAATTGAATACAGACAAATGTCATAAATTTGCTTTTTCCCGGAACAAAAATCCCATTAATAGTCCGTATAAAATCAAGCAATCGAAATTGGAAACAACAAATACAATCAAAGATTTAGGAATCACTCTTGACTCAAAAATTTCATTCAAACCCCATATTGCAAATGTTACTTCTAGAGCACTACAAATGGGGTCCTTCATATAATGTGGATATTGATTTGCTTGAAAGTTCTCAAAATAAGATTTTGAAGTTCTCTGCATATAAACAGGGATATCATATTTGTGAATATAACTAGAAAATTATATTGGACAGTCTCAATTTGAATAATCTGCCTCATAGAAGATTAGAATCATATCTTACATAATAATTCACAAAATAATCAATGCGTTAATTCCCTGGAATAACTTCAAGTGTGAATCCAGAGAGAACAAGAAAAATTGAAATCTTAAAAGCACCCTTTCGTCATATCAACTATGGCCAGAATGAGTCCATAGGTAGAATTTTGATACTCACAATGTAATTCTGTTAAAAAAACAGCTTTTCCGTTAACCAGCTGTCGCCCCCCTACGAACTACAACTCTTAAAAGTCGAAACTTGTGCAAGCTAAGGAGTAACGACGTCTAACTTTTTAACGTATGATTCCTAACACGGGTTGGACGATAGGAACTGAAAATCGATCGTCCGGATTTGCAGTTCGAACCACCGGTTCACACAATGATCGATTGAGTGAGGCGAGCAAATCACCCATGTCAATCCAACCAGCTATCGTCCCACCAGTGTTTCATATTGACGTAGAGTAACAACCGCTTGCAAGGTAACAGGGTGCCTTCCTCGACCAATGGAAGAGCAACGAAACCGCTACATGTTACGTTACGGACAGAATGCTTCCGGAAGCAAAACATGACATCTCACAATGAGCCAAACATGTGCGCTGTTAAGGCGCCCATGAGAGCCAATGGCCCGTAACGCATGACACCTTATAACAGGGGAGCCCAAGCGGGGATTTCGGGATTTACTAAAGCGCGGCAGATCAATATACAGGGGGATACCTTGTACCCGGTTGAGTACCTCCACCAAATATGAGCCCCATATATAAGGCCGCCTGTGAGGGATAAAGGATCAGATTAGTAAAAAAAAATTGATCGTCAGAAATTCTCGAGCGCGTCAGAATAAGGTAGGGTGAGTTAATTACCTGCTAGAAAGTGTATATTACAGTAATCTGACCATTTACAATTTCGTTATTCAAAAGTTTAAGTAAAAACATAATCGCGGTGCATTTTCATATATCTGCAAGGGATTCTAAGTTGAGTATGTTCAATTAAATATTCTGGTCTGTGCCTCGAGCTGGATAGAATCCATTGCACTTAAGAAACACCAATTTCAAGGACTTTTGCTAAAGAGATTCTAATCGATGAACGAAATTTCGATATAATGGAGACCAAATTGAAGATGCATAATCTACCTTGCTTCTTATGAAAGTAACACAATAATTTGAACGTACCAACATTTGAAAAGTTTCCCCAGTTTCTGGAGAAATATCCCAATAGCTTCAAAGCCGACGATACAATGTGAGTTATATGAGTATCAAATGTAAGCCGTATTATTTATGGAATATCCGAAAATCATCTGTTTTCTGTAGAAAGACAGTACTTTGCATTTACCTACAATGAGTTAAAGTCTATTCTTACTACATCAGATTTGAACTCCATTAAGCGAGTCGTATATGGACTTGATTACTGAATATATCTTCTAGTCATCTGCAAAAAGTAAATGTGGGCATGTGATCCTTATTGAAATTTAATTTATGAAAATTAAGAATGGGAGTGGCCCCAGATTATACCCCTGGGGAACCCCTGAAGCAGAAATGTAACGATCCGACTTCACCCCACCTAAATCGATCATCCGACCTTGCGGATGATCATCCGATCATCCGACCTTGCGGATGATCGATTTTCACTTCCTATCGTCCAACCCGTGTTGATTGGCTCATTATTGTCCTTATTTTTCATATTTTTTCCTTACATCTAGCTGATACAGTGTCACTATTTTTCGGGTTTGAAGGCCGTGGATTTTTGAAATGTCTTCCTGATGTTTCACTGACGCGAGTGGGTAGCTTCTTCAGAAGTTTATACATCCTGAGTTATCCTCTGATGACTGGATATTAACACTCCTGAGTTAATATCTCTGATGACTGGATATTAACACTGCGTAACGCGTATTTATATTGACTTCTCAGATACGAAATACGAAATTTACCTAAGCCAGGTTCAGGTATTAGCACACCAAATTACCTGAGGGGTCAACATAAATTCGCGTTACGCTGCCCTAATATCCAATAATCAGATATAATAACTCAGGATGTATAAAACTCTGAAGAAGCTAGCTACTCTCGCCAGCGAAACGTCAGGAAGGAATTCCAAAAATTCACGGCCTTCAAACCCGAAAAATAGTGCCAATGAATTTGTGTGTGAAAAATAGGCAATGCCGTAAATTAAATGAACAAAAAGATTAATAAAGTTCCCAAAATATTGTCTATATTTTTCCCAGTTCATAACACCTATCGGCAGGTTAACAATGTTTATATCTGCTGCACCTTCGTTTTCGTGTAAAAGATTGCACAGTCATCAAAACAGGTAGTTTTTTCAAACAAAAAACTTGTTAGTTAAATTATTCAGTCAAGATATCCATTAAATGTCTAGCTCCTAAAAAAACAAGACATAAATACCAAGGTTCCCACTATAATTAAACGGCAATAAACGGTTCTAGGTACCCGCGAATAAAATTTGAGGACTATTTCGACTCACCAAAGTATATTTCTTGGTCATTCTATAAAATATCCGCTATGCACTGATCTGTAGCACCAAACAACCACCACTGGTAGCCCAAAGCTAATCACAATTTTAAGACACCGCGAGTGGTATGCAGGAATGAAATTCTGCAAATGTTAGTGAACTGCCCCAGAGCCAACTACACGGAGCATCACTGACGGAATTCGCAGACGATCGGAACCCAGGACTTTCCACGATGGTTTTTATCGAAACTGGTGGTACCGAGTGTCTCATAAAACGGCACTGTTAGCTGGCAACGTGACTGATTTGTTATTGATAGATAGCAACTTTCCTACTAATGAGATATCGACTAGGTTAGTGCATATGAAGGTAGCCAGCCACCTGTCGAATTTCAATGTACAGCGTTCAACAGAAAGTGTGCAGCGTCTGCGAAACGGGTTTGTAGTTTGAAGTACCATGATGTTTACTACATTGAATCCAGTGATTCTCAAGAGCGTATTTGAATATACATTAGTAATTCTACAAAAGAATTAATTACCTTTCTACTTTCAAAATCAATGAAAGTATTTTAGTGGCACACTTATGAAATATTTTTTTATATTTCTTCAGCTCTCAATAAGTGAAAAATTATGAAGTTATTTTTTTCTGACCAATGTTTGTTCAATTTCAGGAAAAAATCTATCCTCTGTTCTCTCTTCAAGACCATTTCCGAAAAGTCCCCTAGCTAGATGTTTGTTTCAGCTCTAAAGATCCATCAACTTGTGCTTCTGAAGTCACGAAAGTCATCCATAGATGCATATATTCCTTTTTCAATGAAACGACCCTCTAACGACAAACCTTGTATCAACAAAAATTGCACGCAAGCTGTCGCCTCCAAAAATCTTACCTATCGGCAGTGGCGCAAAAATCCCAGTGCCGTAAACCGAACTAGGTTTGTTAATGCTCGCAACAGCTGCAAACTTAGGATAAATGAAAGCAAAGAACTTCACAATCAGAGAATTAGGGATAAGCTGCTTGCCAATCCCAACGTGTCAAGAAAAAGCAAATCTACTAGCTGATCAATTTGTGTCCCACATTTCAGACACTAGAATCCACAATGCCGAAAATTACTTCTGGACAGCGTCTAGTCAGGCGACTTTTGAAACATCTCAATATTAACAAGGCGTCTGGCACTGATGAAATCCCTGTCATCGTACAAGTGCACAAATGAACTCGCACCAGTATTTTGCAGACTTTTCAACCTGTCTTACAAGAAAGGGGGTTTCTTTCTTGTAAGACACGTTCAACCTTCTCCCAAAAAGGGAAAGAAAAATCTTCCAAATAACTATAGTCGCTTTACTATCAGTAATATCAAATATCTTGGAGAAAGTCGTAAACCACCATATCCTTCAATATGGTGGTTTACGTTCATCAATATGGCTTTCGGAAACAAAGATCAACAGGCGACCTTCTATCGTATGTCACCCATATTTGGAATAACGCAATCGAGAAACATGAAGAACCATGGAGAAGCACAACAAGAGCTGTTGTGCTTGATATTTCTAAGGCCATTGACTGTGTGTGACATGAGGGTTTTCTGGCCAAACTTCGGTGCTATGGCTTGTCGGATCATTTTTGTGTATGGCTCTTCAGCTTCCTGAAAGAACGTTTCCTGCAAGTGGCAGTCGATAGATATCTCTCGAATGCCTTCATCATCAACGCTGGTGTTTCCTAGAGATCCATATTGTCTACAACCCTCTCTTTATTGTATATCAACGACTTATTGGAAAAAACAAAGAATCTAATATATTGCTTTGCTGACGACAGCACGTCGTCATCCCATTTGGATTCCAGGATATCGGCTACGGAGGCACATCTTCACCGGAAGCAGTAGGTTGCATATCTTAATGAGGATCTAGAAGGGATTTCGAATTGGGGTGAAGGTAACCAGGTTCATTTCAATGCCACAAAAACCCAGGCATCGGTTTTCTACATGAAAATAAATGTCTCTGAGCCGGATATAATAATGTCATGCCAGACAATTCCGCTTTCTGATTCGATAAGTTTGTTGGGGATTAAAATGGACACCAATATGTCTTGGCACAATAAGGTCGCTGGAATTGTAAATCATAAAGCTCAGATCAGACCTTCTTTGGAGTTTTGTTCTCATGTTGGAGCTCCGCCCCTAAGCATACCCAGATACTGGATTCCATCCGGAGAAGAGCCATCCTGCTGATTGAAGACGCGAACATCACTTGCAACCTTGGTGGTCTGGAACATCGAAGAAAGGTTGGAGATTAGTCTCTCTTTTATTGATTCTTTCACGGGAAGTGTTCGAGTGACTTGCCACATTTGATTTCACCAAGAGCGGTACATATCAGAAGTACGCGACGGACTGTGGCTACTCATCGTTTTGAAGTTCTACTCAGTACACCTCAAAATTCACTGGTTAAAAACTCTTTCATTTGAAGAACGGCGTTTATGCTGAATAAACTTCCTGAGAACGTTTTTCCAAATGAAATTAATCTCCAGCAATTCAAATCCAATGTGAATCGCTACTTTCGCACAGGCACCGCTCTGAAAGCGTCTTAAGGATTTTCCTGTAGGGCTTGTGTTTTGTCCTTAGAAAAAAATATCTAGACTAGTGGGAGCTATTGCATCCTTACGCCTAGTTACGCCAATGCCTTTGTGGAAATGAGCATTTATTTGGGTTACGTAAAAGCGGTGAAATTATTCTACATGTCCCTTCGCCATTTTTTGAAATCATGTATTCTATTTGGTTAAGAACACGTACCAAAAATTCATATGAGTACTTTCAACTCGACCTTAACAATTCACTCAACTTCGATGTACGCCAATGTTTCATAACCAAGGATGAATTTAATGATGCATTCTGACCGCAGGCAAAATCTTTCGTGAGTTTTGGTTCCTTACGAATCTTATATTTTTGTCTTCAGTGAATTGCATTCATATTTTGGCCTTTTGTTACAGTTTCTCGATATAAAATTCTGACCAAGTTTGTTTCGTTAATGATGATGCAGGTAGACAGACCTTCACAAAAGTAAGGGTTAGAGATATCACTAAAGTCATCACGAGGCAGTTTGAGGTACTTGACATCCAGCTCATTAGCTCTCATCAGTACGATACAGCCAAGTGTAAGGTTAGGCAAGACTTAGTTACAGAAACAACATCAATGCATGGAGTTCTCAACAGAGGCCAGTGATGACTTCAGTGATATCTCTAAACCGAGTTGACCTGAACAAAATGACAAAGGGCAGCTTCCGTTGATGACTCCGTGTATTTGTGTTGTTTTCGCAACCAAGTGTTGCCTAACCTTGCACTTATCTATACCGTACTGATGTCAGCTAATGATACTGAATCATGTGTTTCAAGCTATCGCTTGACCATCAATAAATACCATTCAAAGTCAAAGGGTGGATATTACTCCTTCAAAATGGGTGAAAGCATGAGGTTGAAAATAAACTCTGACTTTTTTATTTCATTTGAACCCCGTATAATTTGAACGCTGTAAAAATCTGTAGAAGCTGCCTCGCTTTCAACTTCTTACTGTATTGAAGGAAATAATCAAATTAAATTGTGAGCTGAATATGAGTTTTGGAAGTTAACATTTTTTCGTTAAAAAGTCTCGTTTTGATTTCTATCGCTATGCAATATTTCCATGTTGAAAACCTTAAAAGCAGTTGTTGCGAGAGGGCTTGTCCTTCCAGTTTGTATCTGAAAGTTACTTCTCTGCATGATCTACACATCTTTATGAACAGTTTATTTAGAAATTAATTCTCGTCATTACAGGAAAGATCCTACCCAGACAGCAACGTGTCTGGTACAGGTGTACCAGATACTACCTTTCTTTGGAAGATTCCCACATCTTTTCTCACGTAAGGAAGAAATTGTGAGAGTTAATTTATACAATGCACGCGCTCACCGTCACGATAAACCGACACCCTAAACTTAGCCTCTTCTTCTTTAATTTATATGGCAGTTGCTTCTCAGTCGAGCGCATTTGGCCAGACTCCTCCTGCCCACAGTGAATAGAAGCTTCGTCCAGGGGTGCAGCTATCTTGCTTGAGGCAATGATGTCACCCTTACTATTCGCATTCACTTTTTTTTGTAAAAACACTTAATTTTTTTCACTAGGGGGCTGCCAGTCCTCTCAATATGACTTCCACAAATAACACATCTATTATCGCCCTGACGACATCGTCAAATCCGTCGACATCCAGCCTAGTTACTGGCGTAGAGGGCCACCAGTCCTCTCTAAATGTTTTTCACTTCAATATTCATTCGAACTTGACTTTATTTTTTAAAAAACGCCTCCCTTTTGGACTTCACTCCGACCACGACATCCACGTGCCATGTTTGAGGCACGTCGTTATCGGCACATCTGTCCTCTGTCGTGATCGGAGAGGAAGTCCCTAAAGTTAGATAATCAACAGTTTAGTTTTTCAAAAAGATTATCAACAGAGTAAAAGTAATGTATGTTTGCGTGAGAACTGGCAACTGTATTCACAATATTTATTCAAGTGTTTTTGAACCTACAACACGTGTTTTGTATCAGTCCGAATAAAATATGTATAAATATATGAATGAATAATTAAAAAAAATACTTTTCTCAAATGAAGAAATACATGTAAAAGTGAGTTCGACGTATATCAAAGAGGTTACGTACAGCACCATCTGCCTGGGAATAGAAGTCGAAGTCATTCATTTATTAAATCTTCCAAAAGTTGATGCATTAGGTACAACTGAGCCACAAAATCAAAATTTCTAACAAATGGAAATGCTTGCAAGAGTTCAGACAGCTCTAATGCTGTTTTGGTGTGAACAGTTCTGCATTGAAGCTGATCCATAGAAATCTGATTGTTCCACAATGGAGAAATCCAAATAGAATACTGCTCTCGCAACACAGAAGAACATTATTCACGATCTGCGTTATACCAACCATGTTGGCGTCATCAGGCAAGCTTTCACTTCCATTCATACATCAATGACTTCATCGAGAAATACCCTGTCAGATATAGATATAAATAGGCGAATTAGAGCTGGGAATTAGCCCGATGAAGCCAACGTGGTAGAAAGTAGTGATTCACATTGGATTTGAATTGCTGAAGATTAAATCCATTTGGAAAACCGTTCTCAGGAAGTTTCTCAACATAAACGCCGTTCTCCAAATGAAAGAGCACTTAAACAGTGAAATTTGAGGTGTACTGAATAGAACCTCAAAACGATGAACAATAGTTACCTAGAGAGGTACTGCTGGTCATAAACATGGAGCTGGCATTAGTTTTCTATTTCTTCGGTATTACAATTTTTTTAAA